TCGGAGTTGGGGGCCCGCCCCCCCAGACGTCGCTCGTGGCTTTCCTACCACCAGTCCCTGCCTGCATAAAGTCTCTGCTGGAAGGCAGGGCCAGCAGGCATCCGTGGGGGGCAGAGACGTTCTGCAGGTGGAACTGTGCATGGGCGGGGCATGACTCTGTGCCTGGCCGGTGGCTCCGCCCCTGCTGAGCCTCCGCCCTCTGAAGCTCCGCCCCGCTGAGCCTCCTCCCTCTGAAGCTCCGCCCCGCTGAGCCTCCTCCCTCTGAAGCTCCGCCCCGCTGAGCCTCCTCCCTCTGAAGCTCCGCCCCGCTGAGCCTCCTCCCTCTGAAGCTCCGCCCCGCTGAGCCTCCTCCCTCTGAAGCTCCGCCCCGCTGAGCCTCCTCCCTCTGAAGCTCCGCCCCGCTGAGCCTCCTCCCTCTGAAGCTCCGCCCCGCTGAGCCTCCTCCCTCTGAAGCTCCGCCCCTGGCCTCACTCTGCCCCCCCCCCCCCACTGCTTGTTCCTCTGCACCTCATCCCCCTTCCCTGGCTGGCCGGCCAGCCGCTGCCCATGTGCACCTCTCCACCCCCTCCTGAGCGACCCCCAAGCAGGCAGGGCTGGGACAGGAAGAGGCGGAGCCTTGTGGGAAGAGGAGGAGGGGGAGTAGGACCGGGGAGGGAGCAGGATATGGCCAGGATGCCCCCCCTTTTTGGTCAGTGGGCCAGCTGTTGGGGGAAGCTTCGCTTGCCCTGGCCTCTTAGTCCTGCCACCCGCAGAGCGTACGGGGCCGCCCATGAGCCGGGCTGGTTTCCGCCGCTGCGGAGAGCGTCTCGTTCTTAACCGGGAGTCGGGCAGGAAGCAGAGGGCAGCCGCTTCCTGTGAAACGGAGGAGCCAAGCAAAGATGGGTCCCGTTTCCCAGCAGAGGAGCAGGCTGGCTGTGCCCAAGCCAAGCGCGGAGCCGGCCCACGCCACCGCGAGCCAGACGAGAACGGGCCACTTACAGGGTGACAGTGGTCTGGTTGGCCGCGTCCTTAATGGCGTATTGTCCGTAGCTGTTCATGCTGCCCGCGATAGTGACCACCAGAGCAGGGAAGCCTGCACAAGCAAAAGGGGCAGGCCGTGAGAGCCGGGAAGGGGCGGGGAGGGGCTGCTATTCTATGTCCCAGTGCTCTGAGCTCTTGTCCAGACAAAGGCAGAGCCAGCAGGCAAATCTCAGCGAGGTTTTGTGAAGATGGGAAAGCAGTTGGAGGCAGGTTGGATGGGGTCTGGTGTCCTCCTAAGCTACAGGCCGGGGGGTGGTGCCTCGCTAATTGGGCCGTGCTGGGGGAACGGATCTCTGACACAGGCAGATATTTTCAGTCCGGAGGTTCTAGCCTTCCTACAGCAGGTCAGACTGTGGACCCAAAGAGGTTAGATGTACTGGCCCTAAGCTCTCTGGGGCTGGGACCCCACCTGGCGCCCAACGCCCGGGCCCCTCGCCAGGCGGGGAGATGCAGCTTACCCCAGCCCACGAGGCACAGCTTCACCAGGTAGTGCCGCATGTAGGTGTTGGTGACTTTGATGGCCAGCAGGTAGAGATGAAAGGCCTCGATGGCCATCCAGGTGAAACAGCAGAGCAGGCCGGAG